CAGGCAGTCAGCCCCGAAAGATGATTGATGGATTCTCATCATTGACCGCGCGTAGCCTTCACAAGCAACACAACTGAGCAAGGAGGGTGGATATCGGCAGCTCTTCATTGGTCGAATCAGTTCTAGTAGCTGGTAAGATAATCATCACAGGCAGTCAGCCAAGCGGAGAGACTCGTTTCTGGCGTTTCGAGCGGTGCGAGTTGGTTGGGTTTTTGAACGTTTGAGAGACAAAGGGGGTCAGTGCAAATTCAAGTTGGATTCTGAGATTGTGGTTGATTCTGCTTATTTCGCTGACAAGAAACACCTCTTCCATGCCTATTTTATTGATCCTATTGCCATCTATTGCCTGTTTTTTTTATGCACTTCCATCAATCCTCCACCTTAATGCAAAAAGCGCCAGGAGCCATCTGCACATGACTCCAACACCCGCTCCGCCCACATCCAACACCCTGCCTGCCGCGACTGGTTCACCTTGGGCACCGCGTGCAAATTGTAGCTCAGCCGTGCGAAGCGGTCGGCTGCCCGGTGGGTGCCCGGCAAGAAGGTGTAGCCACCGATCTCGGTCCAATAATTGGCCAAGGCCACCTGCGACGTGTTTTTTGGACGGGACGAAGGCCCTTAGTTTGGCACGGTGCGAAGGGTGAATGGCGAGGTGAATTGGCTGCGAATGGAATCCGCGAAAAAGCTCTTCTGGTGTCAAGGTGTAAATTCCAGGCATGTGTGTACCAAAGTTGTGACATTGTGTGTTGAGAATGTGTCTTGAATCAGCAAACCATGGACACTCGCTTTGCAAAATCCGATTAGCAAATGCAACACGTTCACACCATGCGTATAGAAACAGCACAATCATGCACAATCACCACCTCCCATCCCACCATGACGACTTGAGAGATTTGCACCACCTCACCGCGACAGTTGTGGTCCGTTGTCACCCCATTTTTGGCCGTCGAAAAGCGGCTGGGCTTACAGAGGATCCCGTTGGTGCCCGCCTGTCGGTCGTAGGGAGGGGAGTTGGTCATCACCTGGGAGGGGAGATGTGCCAGGGATGGAGAGAACGAAAAGAGGCCTGAAACAGAAACGACATGAAACAACCAGCAATTGACCAAATACCCGCCAATATCCGCCAATCATATCCCCCAACAACAAGCTGCAGTTGCTTTGGGTGTTTTTTCTGGCTGCCAGTTCTGGTGAATGCCTCTGTCAATGGATGTCAACGGTTTATTGTATTTGCGTTCTTGATGCTGCTCTCTCGGTGTGATACCATGGGTGCGGTGACCCCAAGAGCCTCCAAAACCCTCTGCACCCCACCCAAATGGAATGCAAACTATGTCATGCCACATGCTTGGAATACGGTAGAATATGGCACTTAAACTGTCCTGTCATCTTAGAACATATGTTGGAACCCATGGTTTTCCACTCGATGCAGCGTCGGTCACTCGATACTCTGAGCCGTGATGAATCCGCAGTTGTCCGTCGATGTACTCGAAGACAGCCGAGTCGTTCTTTGCGTCACTGATGGAAACATGGACAGTGGTCTTCTCACCATTCGGCAAATCAGGAGCTATCACACAAAGATTATCCTGAACAAGAGGCATTCGCAAGCGTCGATCGTGTACTTGTTTCTTTCTTTTGATGGCTCCAAGCGGATCTCGTGCGACCGAAGCACCTGCCGAAATCATTTGTTGCGGACGATGCTGTATCATTCTATATTTCTTTTCATGCTGGTGAATGATTAAGGTTAATATATGATTCATATGATCGATCATATAGGGGTTCCAGATGGTTCCAGTGAACGGATTTTGTTACATTCAAATCACCTGAGACGCAGGATCCGGTTTCACTGAGACGCAGGATCTGTCTGTTTTTTTTCTCATATTCCCGATATTCCGAAGCCCGGACGTGTCAATGTCAACCCAGGCACCAAGGAGATCGCCGGATCCGATGTTGTATTGGTACCGTAGAATCCATGGAACGTGACGTCGACCACAACAGCTACTTGTACCATCTTGTATTCATTTTGCGGGGGATTCCGGGTCCCACAAGGGGTCTCCTTGTCTCACACCACTCCATGTTTCCGTTCGCACCAAGTATCACCTCGGTTGAAGTCCACAGCCTCTCGGACCGTTCCGAAGTTGTCCAGGATGTGTTGCAGCATGGCACCCATGGAGATCTTCTTCTGCCCTTGCCGTTTTGCAGTTCCTCAAGGTGAGAAGAGATGGCTGGGCATCCGGGCCGAACCCCTAAAGGTAGAGCAGTACTCGCCGTAGACATGGCAAAAAGAAACGAGGGAGGTTGCGGCCGGGAAAATGCCAAACTCCTCTCTTGCTCAGCAAAAAGCTGTTCAATCTACCATAATCCAACATTCCACCCTGAACATCCCTGAGCCGCTCAAGCCCAATTCACAGATCAATGATCTATCGAACATGTCCAACCGTCTAGACAGTGATCTTCACCTTTTACGAACTCACATGGATATGCCAAAAAAGCGCTTAGATCAGCTTCTTGGTCACCGGTCCAGCAAAGAACCTCTCCCACCTGTATGAGTTCCTTCCCGACACGACACGAGCCGCACAGGCGGCTCCCCGGTTCCCACAGGCTCCTCTGTCAGCGATTCAGCGAGCGAGCTCGCTACACCGACACGAATCTCATTACAAGACCTCTCATGAAGGAGGAGAAGAAGCTCTCATCTTCCGAAAACAAGCACATACCAACCACATACAGGTGGAAAGAGAGATCCTCGGATCCACCCGACTTCAGGGTGGCTTACGAGGACCCTACACTTCCAAAAGGCGCTTTGGGGGGGTGGAGTCGACTCCACTCCGGGGCACGACCCGTGTTCCAGTCTAAGGGACCGTACTGTGCCTCAGCGAGATAGAGCACATTCCCCACTAAGCCAGCTTCGTTGATGCCATCGGTGGTGGCAATGTCGTAGCTGGAGGCCACCACCGATCCGTACTTGGAGGTCCACTGCAGAGAGCCCTGCAGTATCAGCTTAGGGGAGGTGTGTCAGCCAGAAGCTTGAAGGGGTTCCCCAAATGAGGCTTTCTTCAGTTGGAAATCCTTTTAACGAAAAAATGGTTGGGAACCTGAACAACCCCCCCACACATGGAGATGTAAAACCATTCTGGTACAAGTAGGGGATTTGATGGATTAATGGTCTACATCATGCTTCCTGGAAAATATTAGCGCAGAAAAAATAACCTGCCAACCCGTTTCTTCTTCCTATGGATGGTCCACTGAAGCTTCATGATTTGTGTCCTGCAAATGGATGGTCAGTGTAGCCAACTATCAATAGTTGACAAGGATTGGACATTAAAAAACAACAACAACAACAACAACAACAACAACAACAACAACAACAAACTATGGAATCAGCCCTTATGGAGTCCCATTAGTGGGGGAGGATGACCTACTTCTGAACATCTGGAATCTTCAAGGCAGGATTCTGATTCGGAGTAGCCAAATTCTTTGTTTGCGAAACAAGTCTTGTCAAGCCAACCACTCAACCTGTATATATATATATATATGTCTAGCTCTTGTTGACAAACCTCTGTTTTAGAAGTCTCCAGATCACTCTCCGCCTCTCCACCCTTCAACAAACCTTGGCCTTGATTTTGGGATCATTCTTACTAACTACACCGTCTTGCCTGCCAGTGCCGTGTATTTCGTTTCCAAGCCTCCCTTCCCACCCCTTCCGTCTCCACCATGAGGGAGGGAAAAAAGGCTTGCCTCGCCCACACCGCCGTCGCGGGCCATGCCCCGGGGGAAGATCCACAACTTGGTCTTCATCGATTCAAACCAATCCTGGGGGCCGCGGCGAGGAGTATGGGGCCGGGGCAGGAGTGTGGGGTTTGTAGGGTGGCGGGGCAGGGAGTCAGGTAGCATCAGGTGGTGTTTTCTTTGGCAAGTGTTTGGTGTCATGCCTCTTTTTTTGGTGTGTTGGCGTTGGGGTCCTGATCTGACTGCTCTTCACCACCAATGATTGTATGATGAAAACACCATGAAACACCCTCAAACTCAAGCTCCTAAGAAGGGATCAGAGTTGGTATGGCTCCTCAAACTGTAGTGGCTGGCTTTGGCGGGACGGGGGGGTTTGATGTCTCTTCCTTCTGAACATCTCCATCGACCACGGCGATTCTCCCGGTAAACCACCGACCACGGCGATTCTCCACCGGGAGCAGGAGACCATGGCCGTGGGAGATGACGGAACCACCGATCCAAGCTGAAACGAAAAAGAACCTGGTCCTGGGGTACTAGTCCTTAATTAGCTTCTCCAGCTTGGTGCGGTAGTTCGCTGACTCGCGTGCGTCCCTGCACTCTTCGCTGGGCCGAGGATCCATGCTGCGACCAGTGTAGCAATCCCCGGTTCCACTCTCATAGAACGCTCGAGAGCAGGCACCCGCCAGTGCCAGGAGGCTGTTGAAAACGAAGAAAGATCGCGTCGATCGCATCGCTTCAGTTTTGGAGCGTGCGGGGGACACAAAAGATCTGTACACTCGGACTTTCTTCGACCCAAAATGTGCTTGGCGTGCAAATGGGAGAAAGAAAACATGGGACACTGGTCATGTTGTTGGATGGTTTCATATACCTATCTACTCCAGGATGACAAATCGAAATGATGAAGCTGCCATAGAACACTCTCCTTTTTGTGTCGCGCCATCTGCCTTCTCCAGCAGATTCGCGCCGCGTGGCCCGAGCGGGCCCGAGCCCCAGGAGGCGAATCCAGCAGATTCTGAGCGTTGAAGGCGCAAGCTAAAGCGGTTCCCACAAAATTAAATGAATGAATGGTCAAACACAATTCATGAATGGTTATATAATGATTTATAATATGTTACATGTTCATAGAATATCTTCAAACATGCCTTGCCTAGGGGAAACAACATGAGACAATGACTCTGATATGAAATCTGTGCTCATCCTGCTGCTTGAAAGCCATTTGTACAAGGGAGCCCTCTCAAGGCAGTTAAAGATAGGCGCCACCAAGTGTGGACCCAACTGGGTCGTGGCAACAACCCATGCCGCCACATGATGATGAATTCACAAATTCAACCACCTAGAATTCAAATGACTGGTCAAACACATCATGGTGCTGCGTCAAAGAACAAAAACGAAAATGCTAGTTTGATCAACGTGTTTTCGACCGACTTTGTAGCATCTTGAAATTCCATGAATACCTCTCTTCTTTACTTTCACACTCAAAGCTCTTTCTTGCGAGGATGTCTTATCCTCTGCTCTTCAACGGCAATCCAAAAGGAGACCGTAACGGCCTCAGGTCGCCACAGACCAGGCCAAACCATCGTCAGAGGTATCAGGCCTTCATGGCGGGATCGGTCGCTTGCATCACCTCAAGCACCTCCAGGAGCGCAAGACGAGAACTGGTCCGAGCACTCCCTGAAATCAAACATATTATATCCAGTTATATTGATATATATCATCGATATATCCATAACATATAAAATATCATCGATATATCCTGGTTACGTTGATATTACGTGGCACGTGGATGATCGTGGAAGAAACACATGGGCCATGATACGGATCACCGTCAATCTCACCGTGAATCTGAATACCAAACCGGTGGCTTTCACTCCATGTAACCCATGGATTCTTTCATAGTATAGGTCCAAGCCTGGGCACCTTGCTGGACTCCGGGTCACATAAATGACGTAAGGGATGTGCTTCACTACCACCCGAACACTCCATATATACACCTACATTGGAGTGGTTTTAGGGGTCAATGTATGTAAATAAATTGTAAAACATTGTAAATATGCCACACATGGAGTGTTTGGGCCATGGTTCATCATGCTTGGATTGCATATTTGCTATAGGGTGAGGAATTTGGACTCAGAGCCAACTGAGGTGTAAGGAGTTTTGATGATGCCAGACATTCTACGAGGATCCAGGAAGCGAACCCACAAGGTGTTTTACCTTGGTCTAAAATTAGGTCTTCAACCAGCAGGGACTGGATGAAACTGCGGAAGTTCCTGGATGTTCCCTCATCCTCGATATTGCTGTTTCTTCCAAATACACCCACCAAACCAGAAAGCTCACCAAAGGAGCACTATGTGTTCATCCATCAACCTCCATCAACCAGCCACACTCCGTCCGTCTTCTGCCCCCCCAAAAAGGAGCCACCGCACCGGCCCGGCTCGAAGACCCGCCGCCTCCACGCAGTCTTGCCGTACTGAGCGTTCCAAACGATCATCCTGGCGTAGATCGTCCATGACCTGGAGCTGGTCATCCCGGTCGTCTGAGGTGAGAGGTTTTAGGTGAGAAGAGGTGCACGAGTGCACGAGAGGTGACATGGGTGTCGCTGTGACCGCTGTGGATGGACTGTATCCAGCAAGATGCCATAAATCCAAGAGATTCCCAAGCCATACCAATCTGCCATGGTCCTAGTAGCAAAGCATACCGTAACTGAGGATTGGTCCTTGAGAGAGGTACATCCCTTGCTGAAACCCACATCATCCACAGAACCTGGGAGACTTCTAAATAGCTGAATCAAGAAAGGGTCAGATTAGTCACAAGTATGAGCTGAAGAAGATCCTTCTCCCTGAGACATCACGTCTAGACATCTTCTGCCAGCGCCACTCTTCCGCGTGCTAGTGCCACTGCTGGAGTCTCTGGGACTCTCTTACTATTCTTGACAACCAAACATGATACCTCCTAGCTACATGGGATTCTAACTCCAACCATTATGACTTCGAACCTTTGTCCATCTTCCCATGAAAGCATGCAAAGATTTCGTGGGTATCCCCTGCTCATCCTCTCAACCCTAGACCCTAGACCCTGGTACGCAGTTATCATGACACATCTGTTGAGACGACATGCATCAAATACCCCCGCAAGAAAGGAACTATTAAACACATATGAATATAATTACAAGTGTCTCTCTACATGAAGGCCAAACAACCCCTCGAATGATCAGCAGATATCTCAGCGAACTCAACACATGCTGGTTGGACAAGTGTTTATCAGTATTGTCATACCCTTTGCAAAAAGAAAAGGAATCCACACAAAATATCTCAAAACTAAATGTATAATCTATTGTCAGCTGATGTGGCGGAACTTAACCCCCCCAACAAAAATCTGTTCAAGCAAACCCTCGCCACATACGCGAGCGCCTGCCAGAGTTCACTGCGCCGGTGAGTGGCAGCTGCTTGGCTGCAAAGTAAGAGCGCCTTGCAGGAAACACCCACAAAAACGAGGGGCCTGCAACTGAACAGTGTGGCAACCTCCGCCGGGATCACCAAACCGGACCTGTTGCATCCAGCTACACCGAGACATGAGTGTGAATGCGACATACAAACGGCAAAGACCACCGTTGAGCAAGCAAAACAGACCTTCTGACTTTTTGGTTTCCGACCACAAAAGGTAAGGTATGAGCAACAACACACACACAAAAGAAAAACAAAAAAAAATACAATACAACAACAATTCATCACTCTTAAGTCCACAAACGCTGCGGGTCTATTTTTCTTCTTCGAAGGGGGTCGAACTGGAAGATGTTATGCAAAGAAAATCGCAACTGTGAAGGCCCTTGAGAAAAGCTGCAACAGTTTTGGGGGATGGACGACTTGGGGCATGCGATCTAGGCAGCCTTAGAACGTCAACAAATTGTCGATCCGAAGTCACCACAAGCAACATCCGTTTCTCCGTTCCACATGACGCTCAGGCAAGCTCAGCTTGCTACTTCCATGCCTTCACGCAGTTGCTGAAGCAATGAAAAGCTTTGGGATCTTCCGCTTTTGCCGGGATCTCACGAAGGAGGAGCTCCACCTCAGCGAACTTGCCAGCTAGAACAACGTGTTTCATGGTCACGGATGTGGTCACGGATTACTCCAAGGAAGAAACTGAACACAGATCTCACAGAGTGATCTTTGTACTGTTATCAAGTCCGTCTAGATGTGGGTAGAGTTCCGATTTCTTGGGCAACCCAAGCTGTTAGAGGTCCCTCACCCACGGCAGGAGAGGCCATTAGGAGAAACAAGTTCCTTGTTCCCACAACCGCCTCTCTCTTGCTTCATCCCATTCTATCCCGGTCCATTCCGCATCATGCAGAGGGCCTCTGTCGTGTGGCATAGCGAAGCGCATTGAAGGCCAAGTGGCCAAAACACAGGAATCGTTGGTGTACATCCACTCTTTCGCTTCCGCTAGGCCGAAGCAGCCAGTGAGAACCTCAGTGTAGGAGAACCTCTCACGAGTCCAGGCTCAGTCGAAGCAAGAGGGTTCAGTATGCTGGAACATCCGACATACCATTACATAACATTTCATAACAATTATTACTAATAACCTGTAGGATGGAGAGCAAACAGCACGATCTCCCAAAGGAAGGTTCATACAGATTCCCATCCCAAAGTACAATGTAGGGCTTTTTGCCATCTGCTCTAAAAAAACCGCGGTCATGAAAGGAATCTCATCACCCCTGAAACACCCAGCTTCTCAAGATGGACCTTACGATCCCCCCGACTCCGCGTGAATCTTCAGCCGACTCCTCGACACACCACCGACTCTGCGACGTGACAGCGGTGACAAGAAGAAGCGCTCGCCTTAGCAGCTCGCTGCTGCCGTTTGAAATCACATCGGTTGATCATCTGCAACAGCACCTGAGGTGCGAATGGAAGCGCTCGCCCCTCAAAATCAAGGCGAAACGGCGGAAAAGGCGAAACCGGTGTTGCAGTTGGAAGAACACAAGATGATATGCATGCCAAACACGAACAACAAAAACACACCTGGTGTCTGATTTCCTTTGGGTTTTGGGGGGAGGCTCTGAACCTCGTCATGAT